TGGTAGTCTGATACGATGCCCTAATTATTAGCGCTGCAGGACGCGCGTTTCTCCACCCGCGGGAAGATTAGAGACGAGCTGGGGAGGGGTTTGCCGGGTGGCGTTGCTTTGATATCGGAAATCAACGTAGTTCTGTCTATTCTTTTTAAGAATGATGACAGGAAGCTACATCTGATGCACATTTAGCCCCATACATCTAAAAAAAATCCCCGACAAAAACTGCCTCCTTCAATCTGCTTGCAGCCATTTTCAAACTTGTCATGTGATGTTCACGTTATTACAACTTCGTTCCCAGGGTCCTCCTCTTCCTTCCTCGATACGGGGAGCGAGGACCCTGGGTGCATTGTGTGACGTGTTAAAGAATGACTGCTGACAAACGAGAACAACCAGAGTTAAGTGCCAGCCCTGCTTATTCTATTTAGAATGAACCAAGGTCGACGTGAAAACTTAAAAAGCTTTCGTACATGTTCTATTTTGATCAATCGTTTTCAGTTGGTTGTGTTGGTTAGGGTTTTTACGTATTCTATCGGGAGCAAACCGTTTGAGGTGTGGTCTTCAGTGGTGGAAAACTCTTGGGTAGTGGCCGTTATATTGTATATATGGTAGCCTGGTAGGATGCCCTAATTATTAGCGCTGCAGGACGCGCGTTTCTCCGCCCGCGGGAAGATTGAAGACGAGTCGGGAAGAGATTTGCCGGGTGGCGTTACTCTAAGCCTCATACTTTCCCGCAGGTGAAGAAACACTCGTGTCAAAGCGTTAATCATGAAAGCCTACTCGCACGTTACGCGGGCTTAAAGAAGTCAAGCGCTTGCTTCAGTTCCTGTCCGTGATGCTCGCTGTAAAAATCTTACTCGTGCTCTTTCGTTACGCTAACCAAACCGGCAAAAAATAATCGAAATCGCGCCACGAGACAGTAATTGACTGCCTCGTTGTCTTCCTTCAGTCTCGTGAATGCTGAGAAGTATGGAAATGACAATTCCAAAAAATTACCGCGTCATAGTCATAAAAGGATTGCAATTGAAACGGTTGATCCCGATAGAACACAACTTTCCTGTCACATGATGGCAACCGGGAAAGTTTCCTAATCTTACTTTCTCAAAGCACACCTCTTACGTGGGTTGATCAGCGTGTGCCAGATTATATTTAAACGAGCAGCACCAGAGCCACCGATGAAAGCAGGAGAGAGCCAACGAAGAAAGGCCTCTTACTTTCGGCAGCTGAAATAGGCACACAATCGTTGATCGCTGAGACATCGCCCATGTACTCTTCACCAAGAAACTTTTCATAGGTCATAGCAGAGACATCTTCCAGCTTTTCGGTGGAATCTTTGAAAAGGAGATCTTTTCCATCGGGATATTTGGATGAATCAAACATCCTAAACCCATCACCAGAATCGTTCCCATAACGCGTTGAGGTTTCTAATAGAATCTTGACATACGTCGTCATTTTGCTGTGTCCCTTTTTGGTCATCACGGCGTGAGAGGGAACTTTAGCAAGGTGGCAGTTAATGTGCTGTCCAATTTCTAAAGGAAAATAAGAAAGAAAAGGCTTTCTTTTTCACACAGACTGATTCGTGTACCAAAAGCTTTCAAAAGCTTTTCGATAGGGAGGAGGAGAGATCGAAGCCCAGCTCAGTTAAAAAAAAAAACTCCAGTAACATGCATTCATTTTTCCGAACCTCTTTCGAAAAACAAAATTACTTGATGACTTGAATTATCGGAAATTTAAAAAAAATGCGAAATATATAATCCTCATGGTGTTTGACTGGGGAGAGGAAGCCACTTTTAGTTAGCCACTATTCGACCAGGGATTTTGGAGAAAATCATGGACTCACAAGTACATACCAGCAGTGGTTCCATCGTAACACAGGTATAAGTAATCACTTGCTGACGCCGGTGATTCGCTCACGGTTGTATGTTTTACAAATGCCACTTCACCCGCACCATCCATCAAGCATTTAAACGCGCCGCTGTAACCAGAATAATTTCCATCTTTCATGCATTCATCTTTGCACAACGCGCACAGGTTGTCGGGATTTTTTTTTGTTGTATCAATTTTTTCTTCCTTCACTCCTGAAAACGTAATATGAATTAAGTAGAACTGTCAAAAATAGGTTGAAGTCATTATTCTCCCACAAATATTTGACATATATTTATTGGCTTCAACATGCCATCATTAGCGCTGCAAGACGCGCGTTTCTTCTCGGAGGGTCTGGCACTAATAATGTCAGTGCTAGACCCTGGCACTAATAACAAGGGCCTAGTTCCGGGCCCTTCGACTTTCGAAGGGTTAATTTTGTTTCCAGGTCTCACTTGTGTGAGTCTAAAGAGCTTCTTAAAGGCCGAGATTCTTTTGGCCAGTGTTACGGATAAACTGACCAACACTTTGCGAGCACATGTGATCTGGATAAGGCGCGGAAGAACGCAAATGAGCAAGCTAGAGTGGGTTTTCGTTTCACATTTGACTGCATAGTGGATTAATTGGGTAGTTTTTAGTAAACAAATAGTTGGCATGTTGCTGTACGTCTGTACAATGAGAAATCACATGCGACTCCAAAATAATAACTGGTAAGAACTCAAAAATGGCACCCAAGGTGCAGCTCAATGTGTCACTTACGTTCTTACCAAATCTTGACGTCTTCTGTTATCTATTTCTAGACAACCGCACAGAAACATTAAAGCTATTCGTTTTATATCATGTAGAAGCGAAAAGTTTCGGATGGTAACGTCAGCTATGCGCCTGCCTTCCAGTAGATCATGAAAACCAATCAAAATGCGCGCGTAATTTAGCTTATTGTATAATAACAATTACATGCTACCTAGAGCAATCTAAAAAAAAATACTGGACTGCTTCCAACACTCAAACAGATTCCGTTTTAACTACTTACTTGGTACACAGCTTTCCGAAAAATACTTTCCAGCTGATACGTACGGATTACAGGTGGAGTCTTGATCCATATATTTCTTGGACAGTAAAGTACCAACTGGTACGACCCAACCAGCCGTTTTGCCTGCTCCTGTATGACAGGTTTTCTTTCCTCTCAGATCCTTGATCGATTTGACCGAACCTGACCCTTTAACAACTGCCACAGCATAGTAACTGGTACCAGTACCTTCTCCGTAGTATTCTGCAACTACAGGAGTCATCTCGTAGTTTTTACCTAAAAAGAAATTGAATGGGATTATTTACATCTTAGCTCAATAGCATGGTCAATGGAAAAAAACTGTAGTTTGAACTGTGAGCTAGTAAAATGTTGTGTTTTGAACTCGTAAGGGTCTTTAGGCAAAGCAAGCCCTATACGTTGACAGTAGGGGTAGATTTGGGTGGTTGGGAGGGGTAGGGGAGATTGGTGGGCCATTAAAAACGCCTTAATTCAATCGGAGAAAAAGTGCATTCTATAAACTCATGATCACAAAGCTCGTTATTATATAAGTTTTCAGGCTTCAAGGTCGAAGGCATATTGCCCAAATTTCCGAGCTTATGCGTGCAGAGCGAGCGTGAAAGTGCGTGAGATGAAAAAGAAAGCTTTTCACTACTCGTTTTTACACACGCTCCAGGTTCATACCACCACTGAACCATGCATTCGCATAACCACCGAAACATTCTAAACTATTCTTTGTGTTTACATATACAATCTATGCACTTTTTTCAAATTTTTTGTGAATTGCAAATTGTAATCTACTCGACCAATGAAGGAGGCACACAATTTTCGCAATTTCCTGCGTGCGAATGAACACTATTAGCTTCGAACTCAATGTTTGAGAATATATTTTAATGCTTTTCTACAAAGTACACCAAAGTTGCTATACCTGCTTCATATATTTCTCCTCCATCCAGTGTAATAAGATCAGCTTGTCCGTCTTTGATCTTTAGCATGCAATCAATGGCATTACTTCCCTGAACACAACTAGCTTTCAAGGTGATGTTGAGTTCACTTGACAAATTTTTCAACGCAGATACAAAATCTTGGCATTTTTGTTGTTCTAAGGCTTTGATTGTGCACCATCGCATTTGGGTAACATGAGAATGACCTAATGAAAAATAAAATAAATAATGAATAAATAAATAAATAATGAATAAATAAATAAAACAACGATTCGTGACGGTGAGAGAGGGAAAGAGGGATTGCTATCACTTAAAGACTTTGGGGGGAGGGGTAGGTGTAGGTAGATTTCGCATCCATACCCCACCCTCCTGCTTCTCGCACCTTAGACTCTTGTCTTCCGCCTTTCAATTATTATGGATCATGGATCAACGAATGTCAACATTTTTGCATTCCTTTCCCGCTTCCACATAAACAATATTTTTTCTACCCGCCCTGTGCCCTTCAAAGCACACATCTTGATGAGTAAGAAACTTCATTCTATCATGAATTTTGCATGAAACTAGAAATGAGAGTCATGCGCCATCTCGGGAGTCACCTGATGAAATTTGTTTGTCGAAAATATGTATACGATGTTTTAGGTTCCCATCTTGGCGCAGTCTCCAAAGTGGAAACTTTTTCGTATGTGAAATTTGCCAAGTGGAAAGGCAGTAATAAAGCATTTGAGAAGCATGTGTAAAATTTCATCCCTTCAAATGCTTTTCTGTTGATGTCAATACAAGAAAAAATGGATTCACGCATGCGCTTTTGTGTTTTTTCGTTGATGCCGATACAAGAAAAAGTGGATTCACGATTGCGCTTTTGTGTCTTTTCGTTGATGCCGATACAAGAAAAAGTGGATTCACGCATGAACTTTTGTGCCTTGAGTGCCTTTCCGTTGATGCCATTAAAAGAAAAAATGGATTTTCGTATGCGCTTTCGTGCCTTGAGAGTGAACAAGGCTAGCACCGAATTTTGAAGAGTGCCTGAGGCAAAAAATCCCATTCGGTTAGTATTGCTGTCCCTTTGTGTGGTTTAAGCTCTTAATGGACATTTTCTCAGGAACCAATCGATGAACAGCCAACAGCAATCAGTTTGGCGATCATATTTGCATAAAACCACGCATGACTCTGTAGCGGAAAATATTAATAGAAAATACACTTTCTGGCAGTTTTGAATCAGTTTAATAGAAAATGAGTTGAATCGCTAAGGAAATTTAAAGAATCATGCTGTAGGTTTTGCGCAGCAAAACAAAGAGGACGATAAGCAGAAAATAAAAAGTGCTTTAAAAATGATTACGTATAATTACAAATCTGATATACTCGACTAAACAAGAACAAATCGGCTACTCTGAAAATACTATAGAACTGCGGTTTGGATCTTTGCCAAATTGTACCCAGGAGTTGCCAGATTGTTTTGTTGGTTTTTTTTAGTAGCACAAAATAAAAGTGGTACTCTTCATCTTCCTGACAATTTGCCTATCAATATTTTGCCCTTTTTGATTATAACACTCAATGCTACATTCCTGCATTAAAACAAGCAGGAGCTTGTCTCGCTTTGCTTGCTCACTCGTTTCGCATGGTTTTGCATTTCGTGTCGCAGCTTGGTACGAGAGTCTGCTTGTAGGCAAGGATAAACCTTACTAAGGACACCCAAATTCATATTATTGATGCCCTGCACACAATGGAGTATAAATATGTCCGCGTGGAAGTTTGAGGTTAAGCGTGCGGAAAATTTTTCACAATTTATTTGGGCCAAACAGTTGACAAAGGTTCATAATTGTTCATAAATGTTTTTGCTTTCAATATATTTTGCGGTGGTTATTTTAAATAATCACGAACAAGATGGTTGTATTGGCCCTCAGTAAAAATGATTTATTTTTTTGTGAATAACCTCATCATTATGACGTCGAATAAGATATAAGAAATCTGAAACACAATATCTTACAATTAACTGTGCGATCACATACTTAGCCAAATTTGGGTGTATTCATGGGTGAGTTTTGCTGTATATTACTGTACATTATGAAAGCACGAAGATTTTTTCTCTCCTTCGCATCAAGGCTATTGACTAATTTTAGTCTACAGCCAGACATTTTGGCCGGATTTTTTTTTTGAGCGAATAAATTAAGGAAATTGTGCTCTGATTCTTGGTCTGCACGACTGTTAATCTGTGACGCGTTTATGTAATCCTTTCAAACGTTTCATCGAGTTCAAAGTTTACTGATGATACTCACAGGTGTCTGAATTGGCAAGCTACCGGCTAATTACAGACCGTGGTCGGTTGTGGACCAACCTTTTCATCGTGATATCAGTGACGCTGTATCATTTAGATCATCCATCGATGCATTCGTAGTTATACAAACAAATTACCCGTTTTCACACTAACACCCACCAGAAAACCACATCTAGTACATTTGAAGCGAAAAATCGCTTGTGAGTTTCTCAAACAGCAACTTACCATGCGTAAAAGCAAGAGCACTGAGGAAGATGAGTGGTCCCAACATGTTGACAACGATGTAGAGGAATGTAGACTGCTGTGTCAGAGGCAGCAAAGCGAACAGTTAAAGAAAAAAAAATTAATATTGACTCCCTGTGATTGACAAGTCACACGTTAACAAAAGGAGTAACCTTGGATACATCCCTGGGAGGTTTAATTTCAGCGTGAGAAACAATTGCGCAAGAGCAACATTTACCGCATTGATGAGCAGTCAGCTCTTTATCTGAAACGCTTATGAGACACAAATAGACCACCCATGGGGTTTAAGTCAGGTCTGTTTGTGCAGTCACCCAATATTTCTTAAAAACCAAAGACTGGGAGTGGCTTCCTGTTTAAAATTCACAATGAAGATACAAATAGTTTAATTTCTTTCATTTCTCATAGGCGCTTCAGATGAAGGTGTTGGCTCTTCTCCTAAGTGCTCAGTCAACTGGTAAAAGTTGCTCTTGCGCAATTGGCTGTCTGATATATACCAGTTGCTCGCCCAGGTCATGGACCCCTGACATATGATGGTTTTACCCAAGGAGGGGGGAGAGGGGGCGCCCCCAGGGGGAATTGGACATTTTTCAAGGTTTCCAATAGTCAACTTACCCATCCTTGAGTATCCATTATATATCAAAATTCCACCACTGAGGGCCAAAAACATTGCGTACTAATTTCAACAAACTTAGGTGCTCACATCACTGAATTGCAGCCAGTGACTAAGGAAGTATCTTGATGTAAGATGCTACCACCAACTTTGTTGCATTTTTCCGCTGTAAAAAAATTTTGTGTAGGGTTTATTTTCAAATCCCTTGTTCAGAGTTGACTAGTTAAATGTCATGTAAATGTGCTGTCGAGGACGTAACTTTCCTTCCCTCATCGAACTGAACGAGCAGTGAGAGTGAAAGGCGGAATTATATTGTGGAATAGTAGTGTGGCATTACTTGCGGAAAAGCATAATTTGATAGCACATAAATAAGTTTGAATACTTCCGTACCAGTAGGCCTAGATAGAAATATTGCGTATATCGCCTTGTAAATATTTTCCCGGAAATTCTCGATAAATTTGTTTTCTTTATGTATCTCAATTTTTTTCTAGATATCTTGAGAAACGTTTTAAATATCTCAACAAAGTTTAAAAAGGCCCAAAAATTGACTCAGTTTTTCAGCGATCTGTATTTGCCACTTAAATGTTGTAAATCAGCATAGAGGTGTATAAAAATCGAATTGTGGTCAGCCATCGATATTATATTCATGGTGGAAGGGCTCACGCTCGAATCTTCAGCTTTAGAAACACTTAAAGTAGACAAATTTACTTTACAATTCGTATCAATGAGACTATTGTGACGGTAACTGAACGGAAACATCACAATATTAATGATAGCATGAGACGTGCCGAAGCACGTCTTTAAGAGCTAATGTTGACATGCATTAGACAAACAGCGGCAAGTCACCCAAAAGTTGCTTTCACTACTACTTTCAAATTTTGTAGCCCAATATGTCCTCATAATTGTGGTGTAGTTTTGTTAAGAAAATATATTTTAGTTTTCGAGAAATGATTCGACCGCTCAAATATGCAAATTTTCACACTGACCGTGTGACTTCATTAACGAATATACTTGACCTCCGGTATTTCTGTCAACATAATCCTTTGTTTTATTATCTAAACTTAGTACCCTGTCATTATTAAAGCTGGCAAATGAACATTTTTTGGTGAATTTTTTTTTCCGACATACTTTTTTTATGTCGAAAAGCAGCATCAAGATAAAGATAGTTTTCACAATGATCGATATGACAGAATCTACTGAGCTTCTACCTTTTAAAAGACAAAAGGATGGTTATAAAGTTATTGTAAAAATTTCCTCGTGTATTTGTGTTGTTCTATCTTGAGACGAACCCAAAGTCTGGCAAAATTTACTTGCTAGCGACCATGAAATATACATGGTGTGCCTAATTGTCGCCACCGTCTACTGGGATAAATCACTACAATTTGCCAAAAAAATACGCTCTCCTTGTTTATTCATGATTTTATTAGCTGTTTCGATGATACCTTCATGCTCTACCACATTCTTATTATATCAGTTGCATGACAAGCGTGACACGTAGATTAAAAAATTATCAACCTCTTAAAATACTAAGAGATGGGTTTTTTCCTCTTTGCATGATATCTAGAAAAACCTACCAGGAGTTGCTGCTTTCAGAAAACTAAAATGTTCAGATTCACGAATGATTCCTTTGCCGGCGGAAGTAAAAGAATGTCTACAAAAGTCAATTTGATTGACAAGCTACTAATAGATACTGATTTAGCTAATTGATCTCTTGTAGAAGCGTCTTATCTTATATACTAACATGGAGATTGTTCAGTTAAATCGTTCTCTGGTGGAACTTGTGGGTTTAGTTATCCGGAGGAGACCGAACTTGCATATCTCAAGTCGTTCCCTTTCATAGTTGTAAAAAATACATTTCAAGTCACTTGCGGAGTTGCAAGTTTTCAGATCTAGAAAATGAAGTTGATCTTATTTTGTCGCGTGCTGACATCTTCGAGACGCCAAAAGATATCGATGATTTTTCAATATTTGTCCCATTCATAGATCAAACTTCGGTGTTGGGTGGAGTCTTGGTTCTAATAGTAGATGTCGAGTGCTTAAAGAAGTGTCCGGCCATGGTAAAGGTTGGGTTAAGTCGATTCCTGTATCTGTGTCGAAATCCATGAGAAGGCGAGACTCACAAGTGGCGAACCAATGTTTAAAGTAGACGAATACCTGACATCTCAGCAAATAGCAAGTTTCTTTTGGCGGGAGACAGCAAAGAAAAAAAGCACTCAAGATGTCGAAACTGAAACCCAGAAAGACCAACAGGCTGTGGAAAGAGAAACGTCCTTGCAAGATCTTCAGAACGACGTCACGGATTCTATATCCATCTGTCATCTAATTATGCACGGCGATTACAACCTCTGTAATTATGCCTCCAACAAGAAATTGGACAAGCTCTCCATCCTTCTTCTTCAAGATATCTGTACATCCCTTCAGCTTGACATCTTTAATATTTAAGTAAAGCGCAAGAAACCATACATTGTGCTAATTGAATTTTTGGTGGAGAAGTGTTCCAGTAAATCCTGAGTCTTGTTTCCGAGAAACCAACCTGTTTGTTCTGAAATAAACAATCTTAAAAAAAGATTCAGTATTCAACACTTTAGTCTTTAATGTACGTATGAAGTTTTAAGCCGTAATAAAAGCCTAAATCGTTATCCCTTGTCAGCTTTTGTACAGCCAATCTTTTGACCTTACCAAATTATTTGCTCTACATCAGTGGAGGGGTACAGGGGGGCGGGCGCCCGGGAGAACAAGAGGCTGGAGATCGGAGAGGGCAGGAGGCGGGAGCAGAAGTTAAAAAGGCAACCTTTTGTTGTTTATTGCTGCTTATTATCATCCAGGCCAGTGAAAAACCGTACCCAGCAAAGTTTTGTTTGCCGGTGTCTTGCAAGCTGTATTACTGGAAAATTCTCCAGCGATCAAAGCGAGTCATTTCAGGCCAAATGTCGTCAAATGTCTTTGTTGATCGGCCACATTATTGTAGGTATCGCAAAGAAGTACATATGCAGTGGCGAATCCAGACCTTTAGCTGAGGGAGAATAGGCGGTTTTTGTCCCTTTTCCTTTCGGCTTTTCTTCCTTCTGAGATTCTCTTTTATTTTTTACCCAAAATAAGGGGGGGGGGGGGGGCCCGGGCCCCTCCCCTAGATCCGCCACTGATATAAGACCTTGCTTCTGCAATTGCCAATCAAATAGGTGCATCATGCCGGTGTATAAATCTATTAGAGAATGTATGTACAACGTTTCAACCTTTCCGCTGAGGTTTTAAGAAAATCTCAACTTCTCGAAGAAATCTGAATAGGTTTATGTGATAACCAACCGGACAGTAATGTACAATAATGCTCTACCAGAGCTTAAAATGAACGCTCAAAATGCAAACGGTTCTACAGTTCCTTCAGTTCCTGTGTTGTGATATGAATCATCCATTGAAGCAAACTTTCACCTTGCTCACGACACTAGCTACTTTCGAAGAAGAGTGAAAGTTAAACGCGATGAGTACTTGCTTAGTTTAATTAGAAGCAGGGCTAAATTAGACAGGAGCACCAATCTCAAAACGACACGTTTCGCTCTTCAATGAAATCTCAAAATGGCATGATCCTGGTAATTTCCGAATTCCTAAATACATGTCAATACGTATCCAAGACTTCAATAGCGATCATACTGGACAGTGGAATGAGGTCTCCATAGTGAGATATAAGAAGCGATGCTCAAAGTGTGATAACCAGGTTATTGACGGCTTATTAAAAACTACCCTGTAATTTAATAATCATCAGGAGACATTTATCTAGCTCCCCCCCCTTCAGAAAAGAAAACAACAACAATAAAAAAACAAAACAAAAAGAAACGCCTGAGAAAGGTAAACAATTATAAGTTGTGCAAAAAATTGAAACCTTATCTTTGTTATCAACCTGAAAACGCGAGTAATACAATAAAGTGTGGGGAGGCAGTGGGCGTAGAATTCAAGGAGGCAGGATAAAGAGGTACTCGAAGCGAAAAGCTTTTTTTCACCCTCCCTCATTCACTCATTGCATTTTTTTTTTTGCAAGATTTTACGACGTTAATATAATTTGATAATATATTAAATTATTATGATTAATTTACTGACGCAGAGGGTGGCGTAAACTCATACGGTCTATAGACTGTTAGTCACATATCACGCCGTTATCTACGTGTAGACACAAAGACACGAGAATAAAGGAAATGATCACCAACTAGAGAACAGTATGGGCAATATATCCATAATAAAGTTTAGGTGTAAAGGATTGAAACTGCATGACGCCAAATGGGAGGAAAAATAAGTGTCTGACAAGCAAACAAGAGCGCTGCACCATAAAAACATCACAAAAGCATCAAATGAGTCACCACTTGATCCACTTTTTAATACAAAAGTTACATTACAGGAATAGCGTAAAGAGAATGCGAATCTTCTTTGTCTTCCTGTAGATTATCACACTCTTCCTTAGAGGCATACCACTTAATTTATTCTGACCCAGTCTCCACAGGCCATTGGCACAGCTATTGTTGCCTCATTTTAAGTTATCG